TGATGTGATATATCATGTTTGATTCCATAGAATCGCTAATATGACGAGATAATTTCAAGCCGATCTTTTTGAGAATTGTAAGTGATGATAGGTAAATAATCCTCCGCACTTTCAGCGCCCACTGCTATCCCCTCCCCCACCTCCTGACTCCTAAATGTGAAAAAAATGACGTTGAAATGAAGCTCGCACCATGTTTTAATTTACCGAAATTCAGCGGATATCATTAAATTGTCAGATATGTGGACAAGAGTTTCTCTCTCTTGCCCCTCCTATCTGGCCGGCTGAAGAAACATGATCACTCGAAAAACTTTTCAAGATATTACTCTCTACCCCTCTCTCAACGAAGATTGTCTAAGCGATTGTGAGAAAAAGACGTCAAGCGACCTCATCAGCCGTTGCTCACCACCGTTTATGGCCGCTATCGTTTCGAAGTGATTTCGGGTAGTTTCCCATTGATCGTGTTCGTTCCGAAGGTCGTCTGGTCCGATGACGAGTCACGTTCACTCTCTTTCTCTTCATGCTGTGGGAGCGGGGCGTGTGCGGTTTCGCGATTGTCCCATTAACCCGTCATTTCAACGTCGTCGTCGTCTTCCATAGAAATGGCCCTCAAACTCGTCCATCCGTGGCTTTTTAACAAGTGCTACTTATCCATTCTACCTCATAACCTCTACCGTATTATGCCTATTGTCTATATGTGGCATGTGTGCAGAGGGGTGGAGTCATTGTAATGTCCGCTCCATTCACATCAAGGGTTTTTCCTCAGTTTTCATTAAGCAATGCCTCTTTAGCTGCTTTAGATCCTGTTCTACCACGTCTCTATAATCGCCCTCCTTATTCAAACAAGTTTCCCAAGCTGTTCATTAGAAGCATCTGTTCGCTGCCAGATAGAACAGTAAGGCGATTCTCTCTATAGGAAGGCAGATTCTCTCCACAGAGTTTTATTCAGCATTTATAACCTCTCATTTTCTCCTGTACAACTGCGAATAATGTTAGATTTCTTACTATAGTATTCCTTTCCAGTGTCGATCGTATCTGTAACAGGGCACGTCCTACGTTGGGGAATTCCCCGCGGGGGAGGGGGAGGGGTCGTATGTGGTCGCTGGAAGGAGGGACGGGGGGGGGGGGGGTCGTACTTGCTCATGTTGGGAGAGAGTAGGCGCAATTCGGTTTGAGAGGAATTTGCCGTTTCGCAAATAAAAATTTTCCAGCCTCCCTCCCACCGCTCGACGACAAAATCTTCGGGGAAAACGAAAATCCTTGGGGAGTTTCGGAAGCAAACGACGAAGTGGTGGGGGGGGGGTCGTTATTTCTCAAGAATTTTCCAAAGCGGCAGGACGTGCTATGATCTGTAACCGTCTGATGTCACGATATTTCCCAGCTTCACTTCAGATCAGAACGTTAGAACCAGACCGAGCGGCCTGTAGGTTCTTCTAGAGCGAGTTGATGACAGACGATGATCTGGAGTCGATCATCGAGTCACTAGACCGCTCGGCTACTCAAGAAGGTAGGATACCTGAAGGCACTGGAGACTGTAACGATGAAGCGATCCGGGACAAGTAGACCCACAATGCGATCCTCTTCGCCAATAAAGCTGCAATTCTGCTCCGTCTCGACCGTCTCCAGGAAGCGCTCAGCAGTGCTGATCGCGCCATCGAACTCGATCCCACATGGGCAAAGGTAAGACTCGAGCGATTATTCATCTCGAAAAGATTTTTACTTATCACTCGTTATTACTATATTACTAGTTATTACTCTCGAAAAAGTTGTATTAACTCGTGGTGGATGCATTATAAGATGGTGCTACCTGGTCAGGATGATTTTCCAGTCGCAAGGTGACTGGTTATTCCGGGACAACCGAGACTGCAACCATTTCGTTGCCAGTGGCGTTGGAGTTTGGCATGAAATTATCTGACAGCTATACAATGGCTTTCAATGGCTTCTTTTTCTGGGGGGAGGGGAGAAGGGGGGGGGAGCAGACTATACGTTTTGAATAGCGCTTTTTATCCCTCTACATAAGCTCACTGCTCTGGGCTCCAGGGGTATGACCCCTTGGATCCCGTATCAGTCTCCCCTCCTCTGAAAAGCAGTTCTCTGCAAATTCTAGTTTTTGATCTCTCCTATGTGTCATCGGCGCAGTTCGGCTCGGAGGGGCATTCCACTGGTTTCCTTCGATCACCGCCGGTACCTCCTGTGGAAATTCCTGTGAGGCTATGCAATAGCAGAAGCTTCGTTCACACTTGGTGAGAGTCTACAGGTCTCACCAACGTGTGGTGGCGTGTGATTTAGCACGAACTAGCAGAAGGAGTCAGCGAAAGTGCGAAATGCCCCTCTCAAGCCGAGTTGCGCCCGTTGCCCCGCTTCATTACCATCGTTAAGGGCTGAAAAATCGAATAATTATAGGGATGTTACATCCAAGCGCCTTCAAAAGAATTGAATTCCTCTCGCAGTTCGGCGACGGGAAAGAGGGGGCATGTTGCACTTCACCTGCTTCAGTAGTTCTGGTTTACAAATCTGTAGCGAAACCTGTGACTCTTGTGAAGTTGGAGTTAGCTCGTCGCGCCAGCATGTTAGAGAATTCTAACATGCTGGCGCGACTAGCTCACAAAATGGCTCTCTACATGGGTGGACACATCGATGGGAAGTAGCAAAGGTGCTATATGCCCCCCCCGTTGCGGAATGCTCCCGATTTCTTCCTATTTTTTGCAGTCGAGTTAGCTACCTTTCTATATCGATCAACCAGGATATCCTGGGCTTCAAGCCTAGCTTCGATGCTTCCTTTTTTTGATTGCCCGGTTAGAGCTACCTCATTGTCAGTCTTTTTCCACCGCCCCTACTCATGGTCAGCTGGCTATTATCGCCGACGCGTGTCTTGTCGCGCAAATTCCCTGTCATTACTGAGATCTTTATCGTTAGCTGTGATGACATAATAGGGGAGAGAAGATTTCCCTTTCTTCCTTTTCAGCTACCTCTCTTTGTTCCTAGACGATCTTGGTGAAAACAAGTACGGTAGCACTCACAACGGAAATTCCTTTCGAATCCAAAATAACACGCATCTTTTCAGGTCACCACGCACTTGCTTTTTTTCCTGAAATTCCTTGAAGATTTAACTTGCAACGATATGGGGGCCTAGATGATTGCGCAATTTCACGCCAGTGAATGACAAGGACGGATCACTGAAATCGGGCGATGTTTTACTGCAGCTGATCGGTCAGCCGTCGATATGCAAAAACTGCAGGCGTAGTCTGTTCATCTGTTCAGTCAGAACCTTCCGTTTCACGTCGTACTTGTTGGAACATTTATCAAATAGATAAGTTAACGCTAAAGTGCACCTGCATAAGCCCAAACTAGGAAAATTAGACTTTTTTGGCAAAACTCTGACCCATTCCAAAAAACTAACCTGCTTTGTATGGCTGTGTCATACTTTGCGGCAGCGTCCACCAGCGTCTGCCTGTGTTTCAAGGGCAAGAGAAGCATCGATCTGGCGTCTGCCGGCGTCTGTCAGCGTCTATCAGCGACCGGGAGTAGAGAGTATGGGAAGTAGGAGGGTAGCAAACAGCTGGATTAGGCGTCGTGAAATTGCAGTGTGTGCAACCGCACCGCACAACCGCAAAAGCACAGAATTATGCAATTTAATGTACAGGTGTAATGTAGTTGTACGGTGCGGTTGCACACGCCGCAATTTCACGACGCCTAATCCAGCTCTTGCTACCCTCCTGCTTGCCCATATTGGCCACTGCCGATGGCTAGTGAAGGCTGGTTGACGTTGGGATTGCTTCGATATCAACTGTAGTTTATTGCACAACAGCAGAACCTACAATGGCACGCTTCTGTAATGAAAGTGGAGAGCAACGCCTTTTCGGAAAAACTTAGTCAAACCGACCACGTCTTCCTTTTACACTGACTGTACACACTGAAGCTCATCTCTAATTTCATGAAACGTTTTGGTGCTAAAAACACAAAGTCTCTCCTGCACCCATTTACTAGCACTTTTTACCATTTTTATCGCTTTCATAATAATAAACTATCCTACTTTATGGCTTATCGCGTACGCTTACGAGGTAGTTTGCACAGATGCGAATGACGTTCGCAGACCTTTTGCGTGCTGGAACGCAGCATAGAGCAATAGTTTTATCATTACTGCAACGGCAGGATGAACGGATCATTGCTCCCCATACTGATCGACAGTACGCCATTGAAGTACGACAATCATTCTCTATGTGAAAAGGCAAGTAATGAAGCTACAGCTCTCTTGGTCTGACCAAACATTTACCATTCACTGGAAATCCAGATTGCCTAGCGGTTGAAAACGTTCCAACAGCACAACGACATCGCCATAAGAATGGAGGATTTCTCAGCTTTGGTAGAGCGAATTCCTTAGGTTGAGGCTCTTATGGCTCTTCATTGGCGAGCACTCTAACCGTGAGCATTTACTTTTTTGTTGTAACTTGATAGTTGAGCGGAAGAATCGCATCTGATTCTATTTTCTCAGAGAAGAATGAACTCTACTCACATATCCTTTCATTCCTGTTACTTGAGCCACTTTCGTCGCAGTTTGGTCGTAGGACTGTGAGGAATGAAAGCACCAAGAGCGACTCTCACCCGTCCATCATACCGCATCTGTCACACTTCATCAGCTTATCCATCTCACACCCGCTATCAGTTGTTGGACCCACGTTCCTACTGTTGCTGTGAGGGGGGGGGGCGTCTTATAAATCGCTCGTCCCTCCACCTCCCCTGCTCCTTGTCATTTCCTATTTCTTCCTACCTTTCCATTCCTAACTGCCATAGCTTACGGTTATCCACCATTATTGTTCCCATCCCATTCCCTACATCGCAAAAATCACTTTCCTACTATTATTGCGACACGCACTATGGCGGAGACGCACGCGTTCTGACAGACATTATCACCTCTTATCAACTGTTATCACTTCCCATCACCCACCAGTATTTTTCTCGCCTTCCCCTTTTCAATTTGAACTCTCTATGGCTAAATCAAAAGAAGCTACAAAATTCCGGTCAACCCACGCTCCTTTCTAAACAAACTTAAGTGATTAAATAGATGTTTCTATCTATCTAATCTAATCTATGGAGTCCGAATTCGAAGGCTTACTACCGTCGTGGTGAGGCACTGAGACGTCTGGACCGGCTGCTCGAGGCTGTCGTTGCGCTGAGTGAAGGAGTTGCTTTGGATCCTCCGAATAACCTCATTGTCGACTCGCTCATCGAAGCATCACAGAAATTGTTCAGTGAGTTTCAATACTTGCAAGTGATATCAAACGAGTTTACAGAATAGAGCAATCATAGAAAATTTCCCGCTGAAACGTCTGGAGAGTTTGGGATTGGAACGGGATCGATTCACTGTGCTGACGATGGTCGGACAAGAGTTGGCCTCAGCCGAACATCCTCGAGGTGAGACGATGACGTTGTCTGAAATATCCTGTTGTTTTTTTTTCGGCACCTTCCAGAAACGGATTTGAGATTGAAAATCGGCCAAAATTCACTTATGAAAATTTGAAGTCATCCGCAACGGCACGTAGCTAGTCTTTTGTCGAAAAGTATAGAATCTGCCAGAAAACAATTGTGGAGGAATAATTGTGAAATTTACAGATCGTCTTCCAAATTGCACATAACCCATAGCCGGCAGCTGGCACTGTATATTTTCCCTGATGTTTCCTTGAACCCATAAAATATATCCTGTGCGCCTGTGTTCATACTTTGCGGCAGCGTCCATCAGCGTTCTGACAGCGTCAGCAACTAGAAAAGAGTAGATATCGATCCAGCGTCTGCCAGCGTCCACCAGCGTCTCGAAGGCCTGGGTATAGGTATCGATCTAGCGTCTACAGCGTGTGCCAGCGTGCATCCAGCGTCTACCAGCGTCCGGGAGAGGAGAGTATGGCGCGATAGAAGGTAGCAGACAACTGGTAGGTATGGGGAGATGGGAGGGTGTCAGACTGCTGGCAGAGAGTACGGCGCGGCAGGAGGGGGTACCAGCTGTCTGCTACACCCATACTCTCCGCTCCTCAACGCCGGCAGACGCTGTTGGACGCTGGTAGACGCTAGATCGACATCTACACTTCCTGTCTCTGAACGGTTACAGGACGCTCGGAGCTGGCTATTATCGCTGCGTGGACGCTGTTGCGAAAGTATGAAAGCAGCTTTAGTAATTCTTTGATTTGCAGAAGCGTCAAAAGTGCTTACCCGTGCACTCAACCTTCACAGCCCATCCCTTCGTCTTCGCGAGTCGGCTATCTCAGCACTGGCATCGGTCCATTACTTGCTTGGAGAGTATCAGAAAGCAACGCTATACTACGAAAAGCAGCTTGACATTCGCTCACAACTGGGTAGGTGATTTTCGAATGAGACTTTCGATCCTACAAACTAGCCCTTCAGAAGGTTCGCTGGCAGAAGTTCATGACAACATCGCTACGAGCGCTGAACTGGCCGGCAACTATGTTCTGGCACTGTCACACAGAAAGCAACGAAGGAGTGACAGAATTGCCGATACGCGGAAAAGACTCGATGGCGTCATCCGATTCAGCCCAAATGTTTCAGTTCATGGAAGGCGTCGACGCAGTCGATGAGAGATTGAAGATAGTTGGCTTGTACTGTTCGCTGAGCCAGGCCGATGCAGCTTTGCAACAGTGCAGTGTTGTCTTCGAGCAGGGCTGTCCGAAGACTTTACTGCCCTGAGGAAGACAGGGGGAGAGAATCGCGATCAAGTTCCTTCGCTTGGTAGAGGAATCGCGTATTATCTGCGTATGCGTAAGCGATTTGAAAGTTCAGAGGTTGAGGATGGGCACGAAGGTGTGAGAGGTGAGGAAAGAATAGAAAAAGTAGGACGGACTCACTAAAGAAGCAAGTAAACAGTAAATCATTTCCTTGAGGCGCAAGATTTGCGTGAGGCATAAAAAGCTAGTATGTACTGAAAAAACTTGTAAAGCCGGAGGCAGAGTAAATTGCTTCAAGGTACTTAAAGGCAGTTGGCACGATAAATCGCTATACAGATGTAGGATTTATACGACTGGCTTAACAGAATTCCGTGACCTCGGACAGGCGCTCCGTGGCGCCTTTTCCAAGGAGGGTACCCCTATAACGCCCTATCGAGCAACAACATTCCGTCCCAAACGCCTTCCTCGCCCGCCCGCCCACAAACGGACGACCGTTCCTCTGACGCTCGTATTCATTCATTTGCTGAGCAAATTATGAAGCAAAGGGATTGGTATGAAGCGGCCGTGATGCTGCATGCATATATGGGTACACATATGCAGCCGTATCTTCGGTAGCGGTGATTGGCAAGATGCGTACGGGAAACTCGTCCGAAATCGATTTTCAAGTCACTGAGAACGGAGGCTTTTCGCAGGATTTTGACCGTTTCACTCCGTTCTTTCGCCATTTCCCCACTACATAGCGCCCTACTAGCATTTTAGGCCGAGTGGGAAACCATCGTGCCAACTGCCTTTAAGGGCACAAGAGGATGAAAGAGGACGTAGAAGGAGAGAAGAAAGAGGGATAAGTAGAGAGTCCCTCCCATGGACAAACCCTGCGATTGCCAATCGTGATAGTGGGTTTTAGAAACGGACCTATAGTGACTTTCCAGGCAGAAAAAAGGAAGCAAAAAAAGTATAGAGAACACAGCAAGGACCTCTCAGCATCCTTACTCTATGGGTTGTCTGGAACTGCTCGTTTTATGCCAGCAAAGCGATATCCTGCTGCCTCTGGCTCACTTATCCTTCTTCTCGTCACCGAATGCTAACACCATCTAACAGTGAAAAACAAAAATCGCGCTGTAAAATCCGAATTTGTGACAAAAAATGGTCTTTGAGTTTTGGTGGGCGGGGCAACTAAGGAGGTGGCAGAGGACCGCCACTTATGAGGGCCGCTGCGGCTCCGTTACTTCTTGTGAAGCCGCGATAGTAGGAGAGTCTTATGCTGCGTTAATACTTTCTGAAAGCATCTACCAGCGTCCACCAGCGACCACTAGCGTTCCGGGCGTCCAGCGGCGTCACCGATAAGGAAAGTATAGATATCGATATAGCGTCTGCCTCTGCCAGTTTATGCCAGTGTCCGCCAGCGACCAATGGCATTTCGAGGACTAGGGAAGAATAGGTATCGATCTAGCGTCTGCGAGCACGTTCACTAGCCTTCACAAGCGAATGGGAGTAGAGAGTATGGGAAAGTAGGAGGGTAGCAAATAGCTTGATTCGGCGTCGTGACATTGTGACGTGTGCACCCGCACCTTACTGCTTCACAATACCGCATCCTATGTTTCATAATTCTGTGCTTTAGCAGCTTTAGCAGCGGTGCGGTTGCAAGGCCGCAATTTCACGACGCCTAAGGCAACTGCTTGACTTTCTCCTACTTCCCCATACACTCTATTCCCGATCGCTGGTGAACGCTGGTGGACGCTGCTAGACGCTGGTAGACGCCAGCAGACGCTAGATCGATACTTTCTTAGTCGCTGACACTGCCGGACGCTCGGAGCGCTAGTGGTCGCTGTGGACGCTGATGGACGTAAGTATGAACACAGCCTTGAAAACTGAGGGCTAGACTGCTTGTACATAAATTGAAGGATCGGTACGAATTGCGCAAGGACATGTTCTCCAGAATCATCATACTCTATATATAAAGCAGAAGTTGTCTGTCCGTTTGTCGGACCAATAGGAGAATAGGCTCCGCCCACAATGGGCGGGGCCTATACTCAGCTGACAAGGGAAGGATGGTAGGTCGAAGTGGCCATTTGAAATGAAATGTATACCGGCTGAAAGGTCTTCGGACGGGAATTACGAAACCGTCTTCCATATCTGCTGCGGACCTCCCAGAAAGAAGTTACGGAGCACGGATGCGTGGTCGAGGGTTTGGATCCTTGATGCGTGTGCTCTTTGCATTTTTTCGAAAGTGGTCCCTGTGCACTTCAAAGCTATTTTGCATAACACTTGTCCATGATAATGTCGTGATGTAATGATTCTGAACTGATGGAGCCATTGCGAACGATTTCATGGAGATCACCTCCGGCTGAAAAGATTGTCATACGAGCCGAAAACTTCCAGCAGATACGAAAACACTTTGAGATAGACATAATTCAACATTATGCCACTGGTGAATGAAGCTCTTGCCCATCGCGATCTCCAGCATGATTGCCACATCAACGCCACTTCATATGGAAGCATTTTCCCCACTATAATCATCTTCCTGCACAACTTCGGATTCGTTTTCCGGTCATGTCGTTTGGAGAATAAATTCATTTGAAGGCAAAATCTTCCTTTGGAGTGCACTTTTGTTGTATATGCTTTTCAAATCAAAGA